AAGTGCCCCCTAAGCCCCTCTAAGTGCCCCCTGAGCCCCTCAAAGTGCCCCCCGGGCGGGTGGGGGTCTCACTCATGCTCTCGATGTCCAGCGAGTCCACCACGGAGCGCTTGTGCTCGTCGCTGGCGATGGCCCTCTCGAAGGCCTTCTGCTTGACGATGCGGTGGCACTCCTGGTACTTGAGCTTGGCGTCCTTGTCGTTGGGCCTCACCTTCACCACCTGCGGGGACAGCACGGGGACAGCTGAGGACAGCGTGGGGACAGCCAGGGACAGCGTGGGGACAGTCCCTTGGGGGGTGGGGACAGTATGGGGACAGTCCCTCGGGGGGTGGGGACAGTCCCTCGGGGTTTGGGGACAGTCCCTCAGGGTGTGGGGACAGTGGGGACAGTCCCTCGGGGTTTGGGGACAGTCCCTCGGGGTTTGGGGACAGTCCCTCGGGGGGTGGGGACAGTCCCTTGGGGTGTGGGGACAGTGGGGACAGTCCCTCGGGGTGTGGGGACAGTCCCTTGGGGTGTGGGGACAGCGAGGGGACATGATCTGAGGGTGTAGGAACACTCAGAGACACACTGACCCCAAGTGACCCACGCTGACGCCAGCATGGACACGCTGACCCCAGGACGGACACACTGACCCCAGGACAGACACACTGACCCCAGGATGGACACACTGACCCCAGGATGGACACACTGACCCCAGGTGACCCACACTGACCCCAGGACAGACACACTGACCCCTCCCAGCTCTCACCATCTCGTAGTCCCGCAGAGCAGCCTTGAACTTGCCCAGGGCCATGTTGCTGGCCGCGCGCCGGTAGTAGCCCTTGACGTACTTGCCGTCGAGCTGCAGCGCGCGCGTGGCGTCGGCCAGCGCGTAGCCGTAGCACTCGGTGCGCAGGTAGGCCAGGCTGCGGTTGCCATAGTAGATGGCGTTGCAGGGGTTCAGCTCGATGGCGCTGCTGTACAGCTTCACCGCGTTCTCGTAGTCCTTGCCTGGCACACGCACGCACACGCATGTACACGCGCGCGCACGCGCGCAGGGATGCGCGTTGGCACGGGGCAGCGGGGAGGGACGGGGTGCCCGGAGCACAAAGGGTCAAGTGACCAGGTGACAAAGGTCAGGAGTGACAGGAGGTCAAAGGTCAGGCCAGGTGCCAAAGGCCAGGAGTGACCAGGTCCCAAAAGTCAGGAGTGACCAGGTCCCAAAGGTCAGGAGTGACCAGGTCCCAAAGGGCAGGAGTGACCAGGTCCCAAAAGATGGGGGTGGCCAGGTCCCAAAAGTCAGGAGTGACCAGGTCCCAAAGGTCAGGAGTGACCAGGTCCCAAAGGGCAGGAGTGACCAGGTCCCAAAAGATGGGGGTGGCCAGGTCCCAAAAGTCAGGAGTGACCAGGTCCCAAAGGTCAGGAGTGACCAGGTCCCAAAGGGCAGGAGTGACCAGGTCCCAAAAGATGGGGGTGGCCAGGTCCCAAAAGTCAGGAGTGACCAGGTCCCAAAGGTCAGGAGTGACCAGGTCCCAAAGGGCAGGAGTGACCAGGTCCCAAAAGATGGGGGTGGCCAGGTCCCAAAAGTCAGGAGTGACCAGGTCCCAAAGGTCAGGAGTGACCAGGTCCCAAAGGGCAGGAGTGACCAGATCCCAAAGGATGGGGGTGGCCAGGTGCCAAAGGTCAGGAATGACCAGGTCACAAATGGTGGGAGATCAACAGCAACAGATCCCACTCTGCCAGCCTCCACTGTCCCCTATAGATCCCACTCTGCC